TGACACTGCTGCAGGATGGACACCCTTCACCCTGCTCATGGATCTCCCTGGCACTTGTGCCCTTCCCTGGCACTGAGCACAGGAGTCAGAGCAGCTGAGTCCAGCCTCGTGTCCCATCAGTGGGACCAGCTTGTCCAGGAGAGGGGGTGTAACTGTCTTGGAAGTGTAACAAGCCTTTGATGGTCTTGATTAATGGCCATGTTGGTCAAACCTGCCAAAACTCTGAACCTTATTTCAGGCCTGAGTTCCTCTGAGGATGAAAGTCCAGATTAACCTGCCAGTTGGGCTGGTGACCCTCTGGGTCCCCTCCACAGTGGCCAGTGCTGAACCCTGACCTGCTTATGGCTCCTGGTCAGGGGTCCATCTCACCTGACTTTCCTGGGAAGCTCAGTGTTCCTTTCCAGAGGAGTCCTCAAGCTCTGAACCAAGGTGGAGCCATGGTTGGGTTCTTTCCTTGTCACTTGTCATTATGGGCTCTCCATTTTCCAGCTGTTCAGCGAAGGGATGGCCCTGCCTTTGGCCAGTGGAACAGCAAACCATGGTATTACCAGCATGTTCCTGAGCCTGTTCAGAGATGTTTTTGTGGGTAGAATGGCCTCTGTTTCCTATCATTTCACTACCCAAGAATTTCCTCTGCCCTGACTTGCTTTCTCTCCTCTAACAGCAAGAATGCTCTAAGGCATGGAAAGCCAAAACAGAAATGTTTCAAGGAGTGTGTATCTAGTCCTGGTGAGCAGGATTTTCTTTTCTTTAAGCAGTTTGTTGACACAGGCCTGGTTTTAGCTTTTTATTTTTTTTTAAGCGTTACAAATGTCTTCAAAGTCTTTATCTTAAGGTGATGCCAAAGTTCAGCTGCAGTTCCCGGATGGGCTTGGGCATAGGTGGAGCCTGAGATAGTTGGAGCATTTGTTTCACATTATCTTACTGGGTTTGGGTTTTTTTGCAGTGTCTTGCACATTTTTTTTTTAAAGAAATCTCCTTGTATGCCTGTGTGAGGAGCTGGAGCAGAGCAGTGAGCAGCAGCTCTGTGTCTGGGCAGGACGTGCTGAGGGGGCAGCAGCACCTGCTCCGTTTGGGCCCTGCCCAGGGGTGGGAATGAGAGTGGCTCCAGTCTCCCTCTGCTTCCAAGGGGGTGAGGAATCACTTTCTCCTTCAGAGACCTGGCTGGGCTTTCAGGACCCTTGAGGAGACGCTGCCCAGAGGGGTCTGAGCTTGCAGGGCGTGGCAGTGCTGCAGCCGGTGGGCAAGTGCACCCAGGCTGCTCCTGGTGCCCTGGCAAGACCTGTCTGTGCCACAGGGATGTCCCTGAAGCTCCATGGGGTCACCTAAGGAGCAGTGGGGATGAGCTGCCATCTCAGCACCTTCCCCTGCTGCTGCAGACCTGCACCTCCAAGGGCAGAGAGACCTGAGCCATCTCAGGAGCCACGTGTTGGCTTGAGGAGCCTCCCAGTTTGCAGAGTGTTTCCCTCGTGCTTTCCTGTAGCTCCAGGCTCACGTGGTGAGGAGCCTCCTGCTGCTGACACTGCAAACAGGAGTTCCCAGGGTGGTCACAGAATCATGAAATCCCAGAGTGGTTTGGGTTGGAAGGGACCTTAAAGATTATCCAGTCCCACCTCCTACCATGGGCAGGGACACCTTCCACCAGCCCAGGTTGCTCCAAGCCCTGTCCAACCTGGCCTTGGACACTTCCAGGGATCCAGGGGCAGCCACAGCTTCTCTGGTTGTGCACTGGAGCTCCTGGTCTCCAAGGTGTGTGGTCTCATCCTGGCTGGAGCAGTGCAGAGGTGGGAGGGCTGGGGACCAACTCTCCTGCACATGTCTGAAGCTGAGTGTGCCCAAAAGTGATGGCTCAGACTTCCTTGGGTTTGTCTTGGAGAAATGGATCCCCAGCTTTTGTTTAGAGCCCAGAGGCCCCTGGGAGCACTGGTCAGACACATCCATCCCCCTGAGCTGGCTGTTCACCCACAGTGCTGTGGGGGAGCACCCGTGGGACCCCAAATCTGCCCACTGTGGGCTGCAGGACACTCACCCTGCCCTTGGCAAGGGACAGCTGTGCCCAAGCCACTGCTGGCAGCGTTGGGAACGAGGAGCAGTTAACCTTGACTGAACTTGGTCAGGGAGCAGGAATCATGTTTGGACAGGGAGAATAAATTACCAAGAAAGGGACTTGTCCTCTCTGAAGCAATGAAGTGGCACACGGGGTTTGTCTCCATGGGGGGGTCACTGGCTGGTGCCACCCCAAAGGGCTGTGGGTTCTTGCAGTGACACTTCCCTGGACTCCAGAGTGTCAGGTTGTTTTAGGAGGGCTCACATGCTGCTTCTTGCTACTGACTGGGCTTTTCCCCTTGTGTGTAATGAACCTTTTCCCAGTGAGTTTATTTAATCCAGATGTTTGTATTTTAGATAAACCACCACTCACAGTCCCTTACTGATACTCAGCTTCTGTCTGACTCACTAGGATCAGAGTCAGTTAAACCCATCAGTCAGTGGGTACCTGGCACATGGCTCCAGAACTGGCAGGATTGTGAGTGTTACGTGGAAATCTTAGATGCCTTTATCCCTCCTAGAGAGCTGGCACATGGCTGAAGAACCAAAAATGTCCTCTCTTTCTGGATATTAGAGTGGAGTGTTTGGGCATGTTAAGGTCATTTCTAACATTTATTTTTATTAACTCCTGGGGTGGGAGGTCTTCACTGGCTTCAAAATCTTGGGGCAAACTGCAGGTGGAAAATTGAGATGAAAATTACAGGTGAAAGATGAGGCAGAAGTGAACTAGCAGTCCTAGGGCAAAGGGAGCTAAAATGGGCCCTTTTGTACCCCTTTGTCTGTGTTTCTCCAGGATGAGCAGCCTTGTGTAGAGACTTAATAGTTCAGAAAAAAAAGACATGTAAAGGCCTGTCATCTACCTTAAAACTGGCAAACAAACCTCTCGTCCTTTCTAGAACATCTGTTTATAGAAACTTTGTCCTTGTTAGCAAGTTTTACTTGTTTCCAAACAAATGAAATGTCTTTCCTGAGTGCCATCAAATAACCTCATCCTCCTGAAGGCTGCAGGATGTTTGAATGTCAGAGAAGACCGTGGGGTGCCCCAGATCCACGCAGGAGCTTTGAGGACCCTGGGAGCTGGTGCTGGAAGTGGGACAGGTGGATGCAGAAGGAAGGAGGGCTGCCAGCACCTTCACTGGCTTTGCATCTGAGCAGAGCTGCAGAACCTGGAGCTGGACAGAGCTGGGGCAGCCCAAGGGCCCCACAGGACTGGGGAGCAGCATCTGTTCTTTCACCTGTTCTTTCACTGCTGTTGATCCCTCCCTTTGAAAATAGGTTTTGGCAAGAGCAGCCTCTGCCAGTGTAACTGGTGGTGACTGAAATAGTGTGTGATCTTGTAATGAAAGACTGTCACAGCTCAGAGACACACAGAGACTGGGCTCAGATTCCATGGGCAGGCACCAGCCTTCCCCAGCACTGGAAACCTCTGCAGCCTTGCCTGTGCTGTGCTGGAGTGTGAGCCCTCGAGCCTGTCCCAGGACCAGGGAGCTGGACATTGATGATCCTTGTGGGTCCCTCCCAAATCAGGATATTCTGGGATTCAGACGGGCTCTCAGGGTGTGTACAGGTCTGAATAGTCAGTGCCTAGAACAAGAGAGATTAAAGATCTTCCATAAAAGCTCAATAAATGGGAGCAGGGCCCAAAGAGGGACTGGGAGGTGTGAGCCCTGTGCATGTCATGAGCCCTCATGGGACATGCAGACTGTGAGGTCCAGAGTGGTCAGAAACCTCCCCCTGGCAATGCCTGGGGACTGAAGGTGGTGTTTTTTGCAGCAGTGGATGGTGGGTTAAACCCTGTGGTTGGATCTCTGACTGCCCAGACTTGGATCTGCTGAGCTGGGGTGATGCTCCCGTGGTGCTGCCATTGCTCCTGCTGGGCCTGGGACAGTCCTTGTTTTCCTTCAGCTCATTTTTACAGGGAACAAACGTGTCTTTCAGGCAAGAGCCTGACAGCTCCTGTATAAACATCCAGGCTGAGATAAATCCAGCATCTCGTGGTGTCACCTCGCCCTGGTGCCTCCTGCAGCACTTTGTTTTTGTCTCCTGCCATTCCCTCCTGTGCTCTTCATGTTCAGAGAGCTGTGTTTGATAAATTCATGGGACAGACACTAAAATAGGTTTATTTGCCAGTGGTACTGGCTCCTGGTGTGGATTTTTGCTCTTGTCTCTCCTGTTGGGAGGTTGTTTGGATGTCTCTGCAGCAGTGAGTGCCCATGGATATGAGTGACTTTTTTCTGTGTTCAGTGAGCAGCACAAAGTGCAGCACAACCACAGCCCTCCATCCCCCAGGTCCACCCCTCACCTCCCCAGAGCCTTTCCACTGTTTCCTGTTCACTGTGGAAGTCACCCATAAAGCCCAGTGCCAGAGGCATGGAAACGTGCCACATGCCCAGAATACCCTTGGAGAAAGACCAAGGAGGTGCCAGCTGCAGTAAAAAAAGTTTAGCATCAGGTTGTGGTAACACAGCTCCGTGTCTCCTGTGTGATCTGGATTGCACAGATCCATGAGCAGTACATGAGCTGTACAAACAGGTTATGGTAACACACCTCCATGTCTCCTGTGTGGTCTGGATTGCACAGATCCATGAGCAGTATATGAGCTGTACAAACTGAACCAAAATCGCATTTAAATGACACCTGAGGTCTCAGTGGACGAGGTGAAGGTGGCTGCCCAGTGTGCCCATGTTCACTGGCTTTGATGTGCCATCCCCTCCATGCTGTTCCATTTTCCCTCACTTTGAGGTGAGCACCTTCATCCCAAGCATCCCTAAATGAACATATAGTGGGGCTGCATGGACATGGTCAGTTGGCACCTGGGAGGTTTGAGGCTTCATGGGACATAAGGAATGGCTGGAGAAGTCAATGTCTGAAGGACAAAGCACACTCTCAGTGCTGTGTCTGGGCTAACCCCTGAGGATAAAGCCTGTCCCACAGGGTGTCCTGCTGTTTTGCAGATGTCGGGGAGCCAGCAGCTGGGGAGAGCTGTGCCGTGCCTGCGCTGCCGAGGGACCTGCATGGGCTTTGAGCCACATTCCTGGAGGTAACGTCCTGGCCTGGAGGGGCCCTGCCTGGCCACTCCCTGGGTCCTGCTGGTGTTCAGCCTCTGGTGACTCTGAGAGCAAAGCAGAGATGCTGAGCTGAGGGGATGCTCGTGCCCCTGCTCTCCATCCCCCTCCTCGCTGCTCCTGCTCTTCTATTCTTTGGGTTCAAATCTCATCCACAAGCAAGCTGAGGCTCCATGCAGTGGGTTTGTCCCACTTTTGCTACCACTCTGCAGCCTGCTGTGCTTGGCCAGCCCCCCAGTGCCCTGCAGTGTGTGTGTGCCAGAGCACAGCCCCTGCCTGCCACACGCTGCCCTCTCGGCTTGTTTGGGAATACTGGAAGCAAACACAGCCCTGCTGGCTCTGGGGGCAGGGAAGTGCAGACCCAAATGATAATCCCACGTGGTCAGGAGGGGCTGTGCTCAGTGCCTGGCTGTCACCCTTGGCCATGGGCTCAGTCTTGGTGCTGTGTCTGGGCCTGTCCTGCCTCCTCCCAGCTGAAATGCTGTGCTTAGTGCCAGAACCTCTCATCTGAGATTTTATCTTCAATATTTCCTCTTAAGAGCACTAATTGAAGTGAATAGCCACTGGTGGGAGCTACCCAGGCCAGCATGCCCTGCTTGGGGCAGGGATGGGGGGCTGCTCCCTGCCCTAATGGGGCAACAAAGGGGCTTTCAAATGGAAGGCAGCCCTACATATGTCACTAATTAAAAGAGAATTAGTGCCCCCTGAGCTGCCTTGCAACACTGGGCTCCTTTCTGTGTGCCTGCAGAGCTCCAGGGGCTGTGTGTGTCCATAACAGCAGCACAGGGAGCCTGTGGCCCAGCTGTGCTGGCTGCAGCTGGAATGCCTTGGACACTGTCAGCTCCCAGTTTTGATACCTCAGCTGGGTGGAATCCAAACTTTAAAACACTCACTTTGTGGAAGAACTACTTTTTTTTTTGTTAATTGACTCCATTAGAGGCTGGTTTGACTCATTCTTGCTCCAGGATCCTGCTGAAATCCTCGGAATTGTGTCAGAGTTACTTTGTCCCTTTTGTTATTAGTGTTTGATGGGAATGCTGGCCAGCAGAGAGGAGCCTTAGACATTTGTCTGTGTGATTTATGGCTATTACAGTTCAAATTATAGTCAATTAAGCATCAGTTCCTTCTAGCAGTCACTTTTTTAATGCCATGTAAAGCTTCATAAGAGGTGAGGCTGGTGCTGGGCCGTTGGAGTCTGATGAGGAGATTGATCTCCAATTCAGTGATGCTTGAAGGGGTTTTTGAAGTTCAGGGGAAGCAGCAGCTCCCCACAGGTGGGAGTTTTTGTAGTGACAGGACAAGGGGGAATGGTTTCACACTGACAGAGAGCAGAGTTGGATGGGATATGGGAAGAAATCCTTCCCTGTGAGAGTGGTGAGGCCCTGGCACAGGTTGCCCAGAGAAGCTGTGGCTGCCCCTGGATCCCTGGGAGTGTCCAAGGCCAGGTTGGACGGGGCTTGGAGCAACCTGGGCTAGTGGAAGGTGTCCCTGCCCATGGCAGGGGGTGGAACTGGATGAGCTTTAAGGTCCCTTCCAACCCACCCCATCCCATGAGTTGCACTGAGCCTCCTGTCCCGCAGTGTGACCCCGGGCTGTGTTTAACCCCTGGACGAGGCTGACGCCCCGTGACCCCCCCGCCTCCCCCAGCCCAGCTCACACCCGGGGGGGTGACGATGTCTCTTGTGGCCCACAGGAAGATCTGCAAGTCGTGCAAGTGCAGCCAGGAGGAGCACGGGCCGAGCTCGGAGCTGGACGATGACCGCAAGGTCGGGCTCCTGCTGGCCGGCTCCCGCTACTCCTCGCTGACCGCGCGGCTCAAGGGCGGCGACGGCGCCCGCGTCTACAAGAGGAACCGCATGATCGTCACCAACCCCAACATCTCGGGCAAGGACCCCACCTTCGACACCATCACCTACGAGTGGGCCCCCCCGGGGCTCGCCCAGAAGCTGGTAAGGCTTTGTTTCACCCACGGCCTCTTGGGTGGGTCGCTGAGTCGGGGACAGAACTCGGCTCTGGAATCAAGTTATTGGGGGAAAAACAGTAAATCCTGGTTTGCCTCGGAGAGCAGAGATGAACAGAGCACTCTGTGTTTTGGAAAACCATGTGAATAAGCAGAGTAGGTAGGAGAGGAGGATGGAATGCCTTTGGGGTTTGTAGGTTGGTTTACATTTCTAGGAGAAGTTTTAATGGAGTTTACAACTAGAAAGCTCAGTCTTCGGGTAAAGCTCCTATCTAATAAAAGCATTGCTGAGGAGAGATCCCATCCCTGCTGTCCTACAGCCCTGCACAGCCCCCACCAGCATCTGCCAGCTCCAGGTGGGATGTGGGAGCAATTCCTCCGGGCCTTCCTGGGGTGTCTGGGCTGGGCAAGCAGAGGAGCAGGAAGGGGGTTTGAGTTCTCCTGGTGGTGGGCAGGGTGGAACTGGGTGGGCAGCTGGGTGGTTGTGCCCCAGGGCCCCCCATCTCCTGCTCACAGGGAGCATCCCTTCACTGCTGGAGGATGTCCTCCCCTGGGGCAGTGGGCTCAGAGCCTCCATTCCCAGGGCTCCTCACACTCCCTTTGAAGAGCAGCAGCAGCCCAGCCCTGTTCCAGCAGACTTGTGGAGCTTCCTGCCTCCGGGAACAGGAGCAGGAAGGCTCCTTGTGCCAGGGCATGTGAGCCTGGAGCAGAGCTGAGCTCTGTGCTGAGAGTATCCTGCTTGCATGGGCAGGAGCTCTGCCTGCCACTGCTGCCAGAGGAACCCCTCCCAGATCCAGCTCTGGAGCTAGGAATTTTTTTCCTTACAGTTAAACATAATCTGGTCCAAATAAAAAACATTTTGTAAAGAGAACTCAGGATAAAAAGGGGAGATGGGGAGTGTGGTCCTGTGCCAAGGCCTGGATCTGAAACCAAGCCCCCAGCCCTGCTCCACCTCCCTCCCCTGCCCAGTTTCCTTCTGGACAAGCTGTGTGGGAAGGGCTGGAAGTGGTTTTTGGCGTGTGGAAGTGTGAGCCAGCAGAGCATTTCTTAAAGGAAAGCATTTAACTGGCTTTTCACTGTGCTGTGGTATAAAACCATTCTGTATTCCACTGTCAGGGGTGGGCAGGGAAGAGCTTCTGCTCCTCGGATGACACAAATAGCTTAAAGCTGCTGAAACTGCAACCAGGTTTTTTTGAAGAAGAATTGGGGATACGAATGTGGCAGTGCAGCTGCAATCCCCAGGGACAGACTGGTTCATTCTCCCTAAAACCCAGCGGCCCTCAGCCCGTTGGACAGGCTGACTGGGGGCTGTGAGCTCTGCACTGGGGATGCACAGGGGGCTAATTGAGGCAGCACTGGGCTTAACGAGGGGCCACGACCCTGGTGCCCCCCTGCCCAGCTGCTCCATCGTGTGCCCACAGCCACCTCTGCCCTCCCTGTGCTCTGGGGGGAGCTGGAATTCCCCACAGGAATGTTTGTGTGACCAGTGTTTGCCTTCCGCAGGTCCCAGGGGGAATCAGGGAGCTGGTGAGGGATGGGCAGAACAATGATGGTGCTCTCCCCCCAGCCTGGGATTTATGGGAACCCAGGATCCGTTGAGGCTGCAGGGCAGTGCTGCCAGTGCCTCGGGCAGGGCCGGCTCCTTGCCCTGAGGGGTGCCCAAACTCTGTGGCTTCTGGGCTGATTTCATCTTTCATGGCCCTGGGCTCTCTCCCTTGGGAGTGTGTGTTTGGGGTGACCCTGAATGCAGCCCCGTGGGAGCCCAGTGGCACTGGGGAGTCTGGGGACACAGGGGGGCCCAGGAGATCCCAGCTGTCCCCCTCCTGCAGCATCCAGCTCCATCCCTGCAGTGCTGGCAAGGGGCAGCTCCAAGGGTACAAAATATTTCTGTTTAGGTTTTATAGAAAGAACTCAGGGTAAAAAGGGGAGATGGGGAGCATGGTCCTGTGCCATGGTCCTTGTTTGTCCAAAAACAAGCCCCCACCCTGACCCACTTCCCTGAAGGTGGGGGGTCAAAAACTTTATGAAAGCTTTTGATGTCTTTATCTTGCCTGGATGTGCTGGAATATATCTTGGTTCAAATAAACAATGTTCAGGAGCTTGGAGACAACCTTGATAAATTTTGGCTTGAAGATCAACTTGACAAACTTTGAGGAGAAGAGCTGGATGTCAGCCACTCTTGGGATAGTTTAAAGGGGATTTGGGCCAAAAAGCTGTTAGTGCATAACTGCCTTGCTCCAGTGGTTTCCTTCTGAAGGCAGGCTGCAAACTGGGGATGGCTTTTAACCTCGCTGGGCTGAAGTGGCTGGTCGATAATAGGAGGAAGTTCAGAGCACGTTCTCGTTAAGCAGTGCCTGCAGAAGTCATGAAGTGGATACTCAGGGTCCCTCAGGGGAGAGCGAAAAGAACAGGTCATAAAATAGCTCCAAAATCAGTAGTGAACAGTGAAATCCTAAAATCCTCTTCCTCAAATCACCTGCACTCAGGCAACATAGTGAAGCATTGACTGTAACAATATGTGGTAGCAGCAGACGTAGCAACTTTTTATTATCCTTCATGTCAATGTTTGGTGTCAGGTTGGATTTCTTTTTTCCCTTATCTTTTCTCTGGACACATTTGATGACATCTGCAATTATGTCTTCAAGCATTCCCTTGCTCAGGAAGTGACATCCCATCACATGTCGGGGCAGATATTGAAACCTGTCCCTGAGCAGGCTGTAAGGAAGGCTCGAGGTTTTGCTTTTCTCACTCTCAGCACAGACACTTTGTGTTGGGAATGGAGAGGCTGGATTGGCACAGGAGGCTCCAGGTGCCCATGTTGTTCTCTGTGGGAGTGCTCATTAGTGTTGGCACGTTGGCAGTGGGTTAAGAATCTTTCCCATTCAGATCCCACCATGTCACTGCTGTGCTGGAGCTCGTGCTGTGGTGAAGGCAGTGCAGGGCAGGATGTGCTGTCCTGGTGTCCCTGGTCACACAGCAGGGTTTGGTTTTTCCTTTGCAGTTGTTGGATACTGCCAGCAGTGCCTGTGTGAGCCTGGGAGGAGCTGTCAGGGAGTTCCTGTCCCTGTCTCCTGTCATTCCTGTTAGGATTCCTCATGCCTGTAAAAGCCATTAGTGCACTGGATCGCTTCCCCAGCATCCTGCAGTTCTCCAACCTGCTGTTCCTGAGCAGCCCCTTCTTCCACAGGGCACCAGCCTTCCCAGGGAACTGGACATCAGCCCTGCCATTGCACAGGGACACAGTGTACTGAGTCATGATGTCTGATGTCCCAGTGTACAGTGATTTTAACTTTACACCCCAAGATGCAGGGAAGAGGCCCTGCTTCCATTAAATCATTATCTGTTGCTAATTTCCTGTCAGGAGTTCTGCCTGGCAGCACTGTTCTCTGGCTCAGAGTAGCCCAGGTGGAAGGGACTTGGAAGTTTTTCCCAAGGTGATGAGTTGTTCAGTGCTGTGCAAGCATTTCTGTATTTAAAAGCCTGGCCTGAACCAGCCCATGTGCCACAAACAGTTAAATCTCTGTGCTAATTCTTTTGAAATTGAGTTCCCAAGTGCTGACCCAGTAAGAAGCAAATCTAATGCAGCTGGAAGCTGGTCTGACAGGGAATGGCAGGGAGCCAACTGGCTGCCCTGTCACTCCTCACACTACAATAGGAAAAATGCCGGAGTGGGAAACTCCCTTCCCTTATCCCCAGCCAGAGAAGTTAACTGTGCAGCCCCCACATCCCACAGGCACTAACCCAGCCTGGGACAGAGATGGGCTTTCTCTGACTTTAAGGTAGTGGCAGTTGAGTTGGAGACTTTATTTTGGATATTGTCTTGGCATTTCCTTTCCATATCACAGGGCACTGGTGACCAAATACCTTCCCTCTGCTGGGAAATCAATAGTGGGGTGGAGTTGGTGCCTGTTGATGTTCCAGACCCAACTGCTATTTAACTACTTTTTCCTGTATTAAGATAATATTTTTAATTGATAAAAGGGGATATTTTACTGTAAACTGGGCTCTGTGCAGCCCTGAGGGGCTCTGGGATGGTCCGGGTACAGCCCCTTACCCACTCCCTGCAGCTCTCGCTGTGCTAGCACAAGGCAGAAGGAAACTGCTCTTGGATTTTGATGTTTATGGGCTTTTAGACTTTTCAGCAACCTTGTTGTCAAATTACACAGAAAAGTATCCTGGTAGTGCCAGTGAGGGAGGGTGTGGTGGGGTCTGAGTGTGAGCCAGCAAAGCAGGTCTGTCCGTGCTGCTTTGCTTTCCTGGGCAGGCTGGGTTCTGTTTAAAACAAAACAAAACCTCTCCAAAAACAGGCAACCTGTTTTTGAGGATGAAGTGATTAAGTACAGCCTGCCTGACACTGGCATCTGAGCCAGTTCAGCCTTTTATTTCCAAAGTGTGGGTTAAAACACCTCAAAGGGAGAAGGGAGGGGAAGGGTCACATTTTCTGCCACCACTCCATAAGGTGAGCGGAGCATCTCGTGCCAAGCTTGTGCTTCCCTGGCACAGACAGCTCCGAGGAACTGGGTCTGTCCCTGTCCCAGGCCATTGACAAGAAGCTGAACATGAGCCAGAGTGTGCCCAGGTGGCCAAGAAGGCCAATGGATCCTGGCCTGGCTCAGGAACAGTGTGGCCAGCAGGTCCAGGGAAGTGATTCTTGCCCTGGACTCAGCACTGGTGAGGCCACCCCTGGAGTGCTGTGTCCAGTTCTGGGCCCTCAGTTCAGGAAGGACATTGAGGTCCTGGAGCAGGTCCAGAGAAGAGCAGCGAGGCTGGGGAAGGGACTGGAGCACAAGTCCTATGAGGAGAGGCTGAGGGAGCTGGGGCTGTTCAGCCTGGAGAAGAGGAGGCTCAGGGGAGACCTCCTCACTCTCTGCAACTCCCTGACAGGAGGGGGGAGCCGGGGGGGGTTGGTCTCTTCTCCCAGGCAACTCTCAGCAGGACAAGAGGGCTCAGGGTCTTCAGCTGTGCCAGGGGAGGTTTAGGTTGGATATTAGAAAGAATTTCTTTCCAGAGAGGGTGATCAGCCATTGGAATGGGCTGCCCAGGGAAGTGGTGGATTCTCCATCCCTGGAGATTTTTAAGATGAGACTGGATGTGGCATCAGTGCCATGGGCTGGGAACCGCAGCGGTGTTGGATCAAGGGTTGGACTTGATGATCTCAGAGGTCCCTTCCAACCCAGCTGATTCTATGATTTTATGATTCTATGCAGTAACTGGGTCTGTCCCAGGCCATGCAGTAACTGGTCTCTCCTGTGCAGGCCATGCAGTAACTGGGTCTGTCCCAGGCCATGCAGTAACTGGTCTCTCCCATCCAGGCCATGCAGTAACTGGTCTCTCCCCTGCAGGCCATGCAGTACATGGAGCTGATCCCGAGGGAGCTGCAGCCTGTGGCAGGCACGGACGGGGCCCTGCAGAGGCGGCAGAGGCTGGCCAGGCAGCTCCCGCTGTACGACCAGGACCCCGCGCAGTGCCGCGGCCTGGCCGAGGGCGAGCACCGCCTCATGGAGGAGTTTGTGAAGAAGTACAAGGCCGAGGCGCTGGGCGTGGGGGAGGTGGCACTGCCCGGCCAGGGCGGCGGCGGGAAGGACGAAGGGAAGGCCCAGGACAAGAGCATCGACCCCGGCAAACCCCCCGAGTCCACCAACGGGGCCCTGGAGAGCACGGCCGGGCACTACGTGAGTGATGGGATGGCATGGCATGGGATGGCATGGGGTGGCATGGGATGGGGCACGGGGGGATGGGGCTGCTTGGGGAGCCTTCAGGAATACAGTCGGTCTCAGCTGGATGGGGAAAAGGTGGCACCAGCCAGGGTGGTCTGTTCCTTGTCACCATCCTGCTCCCGTGGGCTTCTCCAGCCCTGCTGCAGGTGCTCGGCCACATCCTGCTGTGCCTTGGTGCAGCCCTGGGAAGCACCTGGAGAGACCCTCTGCTCCAGCAAGCCCTGCTGAGCACAAGGGTCTGTCTGACAGCGGTGAAAGGGGGGTTCTCCTCTTCCCCATTGCCCTCCCTCCACAGCAAAGGCCAAGGTGAGGGGATTCTTGCTGTAGGAGCTGGTGATTTCAACTTAGGAGTCTTGGCAGCTCTGAAGGGTTGGGCATCCCTGGATCATCCCTGGGCATGGTGGTATTCAGTTGAAGATTTAAACTGATGAGCTTGGAGATCTTTTCCAATCTTAATGATTCTATGGTTCTGTGATGAGTCAATGAGGTACCTGCAATCAGAAGCTGTTTCTCTGTGAGTTAGTGTTTCCAGCCCAGAGTGAGTGGAAAGACCACAACTGACAGGAGGTGATGGCTCAGTGCAGTTACCACAGAGCTGTGAACATGGAGACAGTGCTCCTGGGGCTGTGATTGCTCTGGGGAGATTTAAACAGCCACTCTGTGTCCCTGGGAATACAAATACATTTCCACAGGGAAATGACTGAGATTCTCCAACACCCTTTTAGATTTATGTTCCCCCAGCACTGTCTGGAGTGGCCTCTGTGGCTGCTGAACAGATGCTTATCATAAAATATGGTGAGTGGAAATATCTTGTCCTGGCCTTTGTGAGGGTGACTTGCAGCAGAGGATTTAAAGCTGAAAAAACAAATGGTGTCCAAGTGTTTTTTAAGAGGAGATTTTTCCTGCCATTCCTGCACTGAGGTTGACATGTTAAGAGCAGTTTTCATTTTCAGTCCATGTTGGGTAATGTCTCCCCTCTGCCATGGCCTGTTAACGTGCATCTGACTTTGAGTCCAGTGGCACAGTAAAGGTTTTCACTATTGCAACAAAACACCAAATTGGACAAAGAATTCTAAGCTAAAAAATAGCCAAAAAAGGAAGGTTTCCTTTAAACATTTCAGTAAGTCATCATAGTGATAAAAGTTTACTTAAACTGCGAGTTTGTCCTTTCAAATAATAAATACATAACTGTGATGTTATTCTCCTTGATTTCAAGCATCATTTTTCTCAAGGCACCAGCTGAAAAATGGAACAGCTTCCAAAACATTGGCAGATGCAGTGGGATGGCCACACGGTGCAGCCCAGTGCATGGCAGAGCCATGGCAGGCCCAGTGTCAATCTCTGGGAAGGCAGCTGAGCTCAGGCAGCTCCTGAACTCTTTTGGGCTGCAGAGAGGAGCCATCACTGCTGTGAGTCTGTCCCACAAGCTGAGTGTTCTCTACCAAGCACAAGATTATCCTTAACCCCCTCAGAAGTGGGGACTCCTCTGGTGTTACAGGTCACTGTGCTGGAATCAAAGGGAATCCTGAAGCAGGGGGGCCAAATTAGCTGTTGTTCCCAAAAGCTTGAGGCCAGCAGTGCAGGGAGTGCTCTGGGGGAGGCTGCTGCTGTCTGGGAGCTTCTTCCCTGAGAGCTGGCACTGCAGGACAGGAGCTCCTGAAGAGAGCAAGCTGAGAAAAGCTTAGGAGAACAGGATACTTTTTTGGCCAACACCTCAGCTATTAAAGTCTTCACTCCTCTCCCTGCACAGTGGAGATGTAAAATGAGCACCAATCCCATCTCAAATTGGAAGAGCCCCTTTTATGTGGTGTGTAAATGGCAGGGGATGGAGGTTATATGATGCTTGGAAAAAGCCCTGTGAAGAATTTTTCCCTGTGAATAATTTCCATAGAAAGAAACAGCAAAATAAGTTGTTTTTTTTGACAGTTCTTGTTGGCAATAAACTTGAGCTAGGGGTTGGAAACTGCTGTGTTTGTTCTCATTTTAGATCCTGCAAGATAAGCAGGGCTGGGATGGTGAGCCTGTGGCTTCTGGGGGCTCACAGAGCAGAGGCAGCTGCAGGGTTGGGCTCTGGGGCCCCAAGTCACCCAAATTGGTGCCTCGGGGAGGTGTCGAGGGCGTAGGGAAAAGGCCTCAGTCCCATATGGTGGGGGCAGAATTCCTCAGTGCCCATCCATCCATGCTGCTGGTGTGCCAGGAGTGGTGCTCTCTGCCAGTCACTCCATGCTGTTCCTGTTCATCCAGAGCAGAAATCCCACAGTTTCTGTGCCATCTCCCCCTTCTTTGACACTGGAGCGCTTGGAAACGTGTCGGAGCCCTCCGTGGTGGAAGGAGCATTGTCAGCAGACATATCCCCTTCCAGCAGAACAGCCAAGCCAGGAAACATTCCGTCTGTGCTCTTGTGCTGCCTCTTCTTGTCAGAATGGATTTCCTGGGAAAACGGGAGATGCCCATCAGTGCGGTGGAACCGCTCCAAGGGCGGAGGGTGGTTACTGGAAATCCAGCTGGACGAGGGAGGAGGTGATGGCAAAACACGTGGGATGCTGGAAGTATCAGTGACCAAACGGAGAAAAAGAGGTGTAGATAATCCTTTGGCTTCCTGCTGGGTAACAGGAGGGATGAGAGTCAGGAAATGCTGTAGATGCAAAGGTCAGTGTCTCCAGCTCTCACATGTGAGCAGGTGGAAGGGGCTGGTGATGGTGGTGGAAATCTGTCCCCTTGCCTGTCTCTGCCCCATCCCTGATGTCCTTCTGCAGCTCAGAGACTGTTAGTTTACCTTCTACTGAAAAATCTTATTTTTGTGTCTCTTCTTTTTCTCTGGAGCAACATGGTCTAGCAGAAGGGAGTCAGAACTAGGTGATATTTAAGGTCCCTTCCAACCCAAACCTATGGTCCTATGATTTCACCCACCTATCAGAAGCTGTTAAGTCAGGGTGTTTATAAGTGAAGTTGTCACCTGAACACAGGGACATTCCCAGACCCTGTGCCAGACCCTGTGCCACCTGGAGCAGGGACAGCACTGTGCCAACGCTCTGGTCGGGCACAGTGGTGTAACCACGACACGTGTGACACACAGGCAGCTCCTGCTGCCTCGGCCAGGCTGCTGCAGGGACTGCTGGTACAAATCCAGCCATGGCTCTGGTGAAGAGATTCCAGCTGCTACTGAAGAGTGTTTCTTGTCTGGAGTGACGAAGGCCAGAGTCGGAAGCTCTTACCCTGACCTGGACTGTCCAGCTTCAGTGGGAACTGGGACAGCATCCTGTCAGCCTCTGAGTGGAGCTTTAGTGCTGGCTCTGCACTGCTCACAGGATCCCTCTGCGGGCACACACAAACAGCCAGCGGTTGGTCTCGTGTGTAATGTGCACGGATGCTGTTAATCCTGAGATTAGCCACGGCTCATTCTGGCTCTGCGGCCTGTTAGAAATGGAAAACGCTGTTCTGAAACTTGTGGAGTGACATCTGAGTTAGGCACAGACAGAAAACAGTGAGAAAAGACCAAAGTTCCTAATCTCTTTGCAAAATTACATCTTTGATGTGCTGCAGTGCTGCACTGTAGGAATTCTTAACTCTTTCTTGCAGGACCTTGGGATTCCAGTGAGGGTTTTAGCCTGGGGGGGTCCCAAAGGCCAGTCACTTGGCTGGTGGTGGGTAGTGCTGTTCTTACCTGCCTGAGGATCTGGCTGGAAGAAAGTGAGCAATAGTCTAGACAAATATATTTATAATGACTTTTAATGTGTATTACAGCTTGACACTGTCCATAGGTAGCACTGCTCCAGGTGTTTGCCAGGGATGTGGAGTCATAGTCCTGGGGATGTTGGCCCTGCTGGCCATGGGTGCCCTGTGATGCCCTGTGTTGTCTGCTTTTGGTTTGCACTGTCCTGCTCAGTGCTGTGGGATGTGGAGCAGCAGCACAGCAGGTCCTCCAGGCCGTGGAGAAGTGGGAAGCGTTGAGGACATGCTCGAAGATGAGTTTGTTCTGTTTTGCTACCGGGGCTTCCGACCAGCCGTGCGGTTCAGAGCGATGCAGAGAGCACGTCTGGGAAGGAACGATCCCTCCCAAGATCTCCAAAATAAGCTGCTCAGCACCCTGTCTTCCCCCCGTGCCCTGGAGCCAAAGGTGCTTCCTCGTGGCTGCGATCCCGCAGGGCTTTGAGCCTCGGGGCTCCCGCTGACCCTGCTCTCTCTCCTCAGCGCTGCGAGACCTGCAAGCAGGCGGTGCCCGGGGACTGCCCCGTGGTGTTCGCGGACAGGGCCGGCTACTCCCGCCTGTGGCACCCGGCCTGCTTCGTGTGCTGCCGCTGCTCCGAGCCCCTCGTCGACCTCATCTACTTCTGGAAGGCCGGGGCCGCCTGGTGCGGGCGCCACTACTGCGAGAGCCTGCGGCCCCGCTGCGCCGGCTGCGACGAGGTACCCGACCCTGAGCCCCTGTGACACAGCCCTGATACCCTGTGACACAGCTCTGATCCCCTGTGACACAGCCCTGATCCCCCTGTGCCAGAGCCCTGATCCCCCTGTGCCAGAGCCCCGATCCCCCTGCGGCCCCGCTGCGCCGGCTGTGACGAGGTACCCGACCCTGATACCCTGTGACACAGCCCTGACCTCCTGTGACACAGCCCTGACCCCCTGTGACACAGCCCCTGATCCCCCTGTGCCACAGCCCTGATCCCCCTGTGCCACAGCCCTGATCCCCTGTGCCACAGCCCCTGATCCCCCTGTGCCAGAGCCCTGATCCCCTGTGCCACAACCCCTGATCCCCCTGTGCCAGAGCCCTGATCCCCTGTGCCACAGCCCCTGATCCCCCTGTGCCAGAGCCCTGATCCCCTGTGCCACAGCCCCTGATCCCCCTGTGCCAGAGGCCCTGACCCCCCTGTGCCAGAGCAGGGACCACCCAGAGACCCTCTGATCCCACCAGTGCCAGGACAGGGACCAACCGGTCTCTCTGTGCCAGGATCCTGGCACAGGCTCAGTCAGGGCTTCTGAGCAGCCTGGTCTGCTGGAAGGTGTCCCATGCCCATGGCAGGGGGTTGGAACGAGGTGACCTTTGCAGGTCCCTGCCAGCCCAAACCATTCTATGGTTCTTTTATGTGCCCATTCCCAAAGTCTGGCCCCCGTGTTGAGGGGCTTGGCCGGAGGTGTAGGGCTGGCTGTCCCTGCTCCTGCCACACTCCAGCTTGGCGAGAAGGTGGCAATAATCAGTGGTGTGTCTCTCTGTCTGTGCCACAGATCATCTTCTCGGAGGACTACCAGCGGGCAGAGGGGCTGGCCTGGCACAAGAAACACTTTGCCTGCCTGGAGTGCGAGACGCCGCTGGTGGGCAAACCCTTCACCCTGGCCAACAGCAGCCTCCTGTGCACCATCTGCAGCCAGAGCAAGCGCCTCTGAGGGGGGCAGCCGGGGCCCCCCGAGGTCCCACCAGGACTGGGGGCATTGGGCAAGTACAGGAGAAGGAGAAGGTTAAAGAAATTAGAGCCTGAGTATTCACTTGCATCCAGCACAGCCCGGGGCGGGTATTTTCTTGGGGTCCTCTTGG